TTACAATAAATCAACTTTTTATATCCATTTTCCTTAAAACGTCTTCGTTGTTCATATTCTCCGTTCATGGTATTCTTCGCACTTCTTTGTTGTTTCATCATTTGTTCATATGTGACTTACGACAATATCACGTTGAAAGACCGGTTCTCGTACGATCACCGAAGTTAAGCAACGTCGAGCCTGCTCAGTACCTAGACGAGTGCCCGCTTGGGAATACCAGCCGCTCTGAACTTGAATGTGTGCGTTGTATAATGGATAACGGAATTGGAAATCGGTTCGTTGAGTTCCAATTCCAGTCGGGTTCGTTATATTTTCCTTTACACGCAAATACCCTTGGAAAAGTCATGAAGCCAGCTCTTATCCCCAGCTATGTGTTAATTAGTATGATTTTTTTAATCAGTAAATCATTATTATTACGTAAATATTTACTGGCTTTAAATAACCTGCAAAAGGTTGATAAGTTATAAAAAAACAAATCAATATTCATATGTGAGGTAATTTTCAGCATTCACTGGCATAGAAAATAATTGATAATACATAGCAGGTCAGCACTCTCTTATTTGTTTCTAAAGAAATTTTATCGATTTCTTATATTTGTTTAGGTTTTGTAAATCATCTTTCATTATCCCAATGCAAAATCTGATTTCTAGCACATTTGCTGTCGCCCGTTAAAAAAAAATTCTCAGAAACATAGACACATATTGAGGAAAGAGTACTTGGAGAATTTAACACTCACAAGAGGAGCAGATGGAAATAGGGAGAAGTCTACGTGACGAGTTTGTTTAAATGTAAAATAGAAGTGGAACTGGCAGGAATAGTAAAGAGGTAAACATTGCTAAGAACTGCAAAGGATAGGAAGTCATGGAGAGCCCTGATCGCACACATCTTGGAGGGACACAGCGTGTAAAAGAAGTCTTGTCAAAATAATAATTTCTGCGTCTTTGCTAAATCAGTTTATTATTATATATTTCTATAAATATATTCATAGCAATTGTTTCAATGTACTTTCCTCTTTGATACCTCGACTTCGTGAATTGAAGCGTATTACTTGATTGGCAGTTAGGTCTCATCATTTTACTGTTGAAATTGCTAGATTTATCTGTAACTTCTGTACTAATATTTTCTCCTCTCGAACTTCTCACCTGTGGAACTCTCTTCCGGCTTCTTGATTTCCTGTCCATTATTTTTATTGTCCCCAGGAAACATTTCTTGAGTTTCCTTCTTATTTTCCTGTCAAATACGATCTTCAAAAATGTAACCGCAACGTCAATCGTTATCATCCAGTCATTTTCATTGTCTCTTTAGTAATATTTTCTCAGTTTCCTTCACTCTCAATAACTTCACGCGTCTTAGTGACTTTATCGCCTTGCTTAGTGGTGAAATGCATAAAAATATCTTAATTCCCATGAAAATTGATCAATTAAAATAAAGAGTGTTCAAACAAAATGTGTTCGTCTTGTCTGGTTTGTTGTTTTGTTGTTTTCGTTGCTGTTGTCATCGTCATCGTCAACAGCCAATCGTGGAAGGGGACATAACTCCTGGCGTTTAATACACTACACACAACCAACTCTGGGTCTCTTGTCGGGTTGAACCGATTCCCCGTTACACAAAATAACAGGAAGTAATTATAATTGGTTAAAACAAGAACATTACTATACATATAGTATACCCTTTATTGGGTCATAAAGATCTCAACCAAATGAATTATTTTTATGCTTTTAGTGGACTCTTCTTTACATAGTGCTGTGAATCCAAAACCTTAAACGAGTTTTAATGCATAAAGTCGTTTTTAGATCAACAGAACTCTAGTTAATCAGAACTCGGCGATGAAAAACTATATTTGGCACCCCTTAAGTAGGACTCACGTAAAAAAATAGTTTTGGAAATATTTTTCGTAGATAGGCACTGATTACACCATCTTTAGATATAGATTTCTTACCATTTTAGAAGTGGGGTCCTGTTCATAATATCGATACAATATAAAATCGATCCTTGACATTTACAGATTTATCGGAAATTAGATGTTCGCTTGCAATGTTGGTCAATCTTCTCACAGATGAAAAAAAAAAAAAAGACTTGAAGCAACAGAAATGTGTTTCTAAAGAAGGATGCTGAGAATACCATGGACTGCATATATGAACAACGAGGAAGCTTTAGAGAAAATAGAAACAAAAAGTATATGTATACTTGTCATCAGAAAGAGACAGTTGAAATTTCTAACGAACATAATGAAGAAAGAAGGCTTAGAAAATTTGACACTCATAGGACATAGTGAAGGCAAAAGAAACAGAGGAATACAGTGAATAACCTTACGAGCTTGTGAAAATATTTGGCAGAATAGCTGTTAGGCGAAAAGACAAAATTAACTAAGAGTTATAAAAGATAGGAACTTGTGGAGAGACATGATCATCAACTTTTTGAAGGGACATGGCACATAGACGAAGAAGGAACTGTTTCCTTACAAATGTCTAGTTTGAAACTATAATTACGTCATTGATATCTGTGTATGAAAAAACGAATTTATTTTATTTTATAAAAAGACTTCTTTTAAACAAAGAACAAACGGATATGTGCTTTTTTCATGATTTTTTGTATTTTAAGAAACTATTTTAAACAAAGATTAATGTTTTTTCACTTTTTGTTTTTAAGAAAAGTTTTTTTTGTCATTGAAGAAGAAACAGATGTATACATTTTAAAGTCGTGCCATATGTTTACTTAAAGACCAAAATTTACATAAATTAACAAACAAAAGTATATAAATATTTAGAAATCAATGCTGTAAGCACATTTTCAAGGCATGACATTTGTAAATAAAAATGTAAGTATAGATAACACTATAAAAAGTTAAGGATCGATTTGTATCGATATTATAAATAGGAACCCTACTAAATCGATGAAAATCAATATTTTTAAGATTCTGAAAATGATCACACCCTCTTTGTTTATATATATTTATATATATTTTTAAAATGTATTTTTAATGTCCTAGTAAATATAATTCTTTTAATTCTTGTAGTAACAGTGATTCTGCCATTGTTTAATACAGAAATTACATTTACATAATTTTTCATAAATAATCATTGAAAGTCGTTTACAGTAAAGATATGCGATTGATAAAAATATAAATCAAGTATTTTTTGAGATGTTTGATATATTTGAATGATTTTTGTGTAACATAAGTGCTTCCATATTTTTTATGGAAAAAGACTAAAAGACTTCATAGAAATCAACAATTGTCTGACTTATACACTTGTTAATCATTTTAATATCTGACGCTTCTTTTAATTTTCTAAATCTCTGTCGATCTTCCTTATTATTTAGACTTCATCCCAACGAATCTACTGTGGTCGCTTCTCTACCCAGATATATTCTACTATATAAGATGACTATCTGTGTCACACTGTATCGGTGTGAGACGTTGAGTAATGGATTGTTTTGTTGAGTAGATTTGTTATTATCTTCTTTCATTTCACCAACACTGTCTAGTTTAGGTCTATCGAGAAAAATCCCATGTTTCTTTTTTTTCTAATGAAGGCCAAAGAATGGATCGGCTGGAACAATCTGGTGACAACATAAGCAACAGTAAGATCGAGCACAGTTGTCAGCACGAATGATAATGACTTATCCCATAATTAAAGAAGATAACTATCGAAATATGAAGAAAATAAACTAATTTAGATTTTGCTAAATATTTTGCTGAAGGGTCCTATTAAATTTGATTTTATTTCATTTAATAATAAACGTTAACAAAGACTTTTTATATTTTTGCAAAGAAAGTATAATTATCCGAACGTTCTCGAAGAGAATCCTAAAAGATTTCCTTTGAGAACATCAGATTAAATTGTCAGAATGGAAGGTGGTAATTCTACCAGATCTTGATTTACATTCTTGTCTCGTACTTCTCCTTGTGGAACTCTCTTCCGGCTTCATGGTTTCCAGCCAACATTAAACTGCAAAATGTAGATGTACGTCTGTCACTATCTACTAACCTCTTAATTACTCTTTTCTCTTAGCGCTCATTATTAATGATTCTGTTCCTAATTCTTCTCCACTCAGTAACCCCTTGTGTTTTAGTGGCTTTATTACCTTGCATGGGGTGATAACGATTAAACTATAAAAAGAGATAATATACATGACGCAAATCTTTTAAACACACACATACACACACACATATATGTATATATTACTTCAAACGTTAGTATTAGTGGATATTCGTATTTAAATAAACGCCACATGTTCTATTTTTACTTTAAATAGTGTGTATTACGTTTATCGATCTGTGTATTGAAAAATATTTTCTTTATTAACCAAATTTTGTTTGTTAAGATTTCTCGAATACGCAGACCAATAGACGTAATACACACTGATTGAAGTAAAAATAAAAATTGGCACGTCTATTGCAAATACGAGTAACCACTATAATAACGTTTGAAGTAAAGTAATATATATATATATATATATATATATATATATATATATATATTTTTGTGTGTGTGTAATATATGATATATAAATCAATATATCAAACTAATATTGTGCAATTGATGAACACATTGAATAACCACATGAAATGACGTAATTTTTTTTCCCATATATCATGCAACTAACCACCCTATAGCACTTAGTCTTTTGATCGCTTAAAACTGGGAAACTTCAACGTGTTCAAAGTGTTCAAACACTCAAATTCGTGAATCGACACATGGCTGGTTTTGAAACTCATCCGCGACACGAAATATCGTGTTCAACCTAAAGGATTTTCATGAAAACCTGATCTTGGTAGCAGTGTAGCCGCAGTGTAGCCACAGTGTAGCCGAAGTTCGCACAAATTTGATGCTGTCACGTTGCTCGAATTTATCAACCATCGTAAAGATCATTACAAAACATCGAGCAATAGCTGGAGGCCAAGAGTTGGACGATGTCTATTGACAGACTGACTCAGTAAGCTTGGTACCAGTGAGCGTTAGCTACTTTCAGATTTCCGTTAAACGGTAAAATTACAGAATGTAGAGTACGGGAACTTTTCGATATCTATCTATCTAAATTTCTTTCTTTCTTCCTTTCTTTGTGTTTCTATTCATCTATCTATTCATCTATCTATCTATCTATCTATTCATCTATCTATCTATCTATTAGGTACACTATAGTCACTTGGTCGACCATTATGACGGCAATATTTCGAAATGAATATTATTGGCCATCCATTAAAAAAGACATTGAACACTTTTTGATATGTCTTCTTAATACTGTTACGGAGTGATTTTCATTCATCTATCTATCTATCTATCTATCTATCTATCTATCTATCTATCTGTGGATTTGCGAATAGTGTGACGAGCCAAGTTCAAATTCTGGTCGATTCTATTTCGTTCTATTCGAGCTAATGTTCTTGGAAAAAAAAACCTGTGTCTATCTTCCTTCATCTACAAGAAAATTGTCAAGGTTTTATATGCAGATAACTTTGTGTCATGACCTATATTAAAAAATTTTTTTCCGATGAATTTGAATTTAGCCTAGGTCACATTCGATTGCATAATCACAAGTCCACAAGTCTATTTTTTAAAGTTTTCTGCTTTTTGAAATTAAATTAATTTTTCACCTGTCAGTAGTTTAACATCGTCTGAAGAGACACATTTATGGTGTCGAAAGATAATTCTAATTGTGTAGCGATTTTTAACATGTTTTAATATCCTAAAATATATATATGTGTGTGTGTGTGCGTGTGTGCTTTTTTGTGTGTGTGTTATAACTCACTATTAGCCGTTATAATGTTATGTCTTCCTTAGGCTACCGATCGTGACGTCTGTTAGAAATTCTACTGACTCACTCCAATGGACTTCCCTGACTCACGTGGAGTTCTTTATTTATATGTCTTGCCTAGTACATTTGTGTCACGACCATGAATGTGTTACTTACTCCACAATAATATATATATATATATATATATATATATATATATATATATATATATATGTGTGTGTGTGTGTGTGTGTATACAATCCTCGGGCATAATGAAAATATCAATGAAGCCGTGAATTTATTTCCCTATTTAACCTCCGTAAATACAGGCAGTTTGACCAAGGTCATGATTTATATCATTCACTTTGGCCTTATAGAAGACTACTGACAGTAATTAGCCCGAGGCTCAGCGAAGAACATTGAAGTCTCGTTTTACACTGTTTACATTATCTCGAATCCAAATCTCGCGATATGACGACAATAGATGACATTTTTACAGCGAGGCAACTTTAAGCTGGATTTCTTACGCTTTTCGTTTTTTTTTACTGATTCGTTTAAAAATGATAGATAAAATAAATGAAATAAGAAAATAAAAAGAAATGGAAGCTACAGAAAAAAAAAATGAGGAAGAAAAGTGAAAAGGTAAAAGCATAAAAGAAAAGAAATAAATAAAACTAAAAAGCAATGTTTCTCGGATGTATCGTATTTATTTGTAGAGGAATTTTTACTGGAAAAAAATGAAGTAAAAAGAAAAGAAAAACACGTACAAACACGTGATGTACTTACAGATGTGTATATACATATTTGTGGGTGTTCGTCTTTGTCATTATATAAAAGAAATTCGATATAGGTTTGGAATTGATGACATATATGAATAAAGTCTTAAGTAAACAAAAGATCTACATGTGTAGATATGACTTTCCCAATAGATCGGAGACAAAACATTGGCAAAAGGTTCAACTGATCAACAGATAAAAAAAAATGAGTTTAACAAGACAGTAAAATATAGAATCGGCAGTTATATAGAGATTGCAATTCTTACAAATAGAAGGCTAACAGTATCGATCTTACATTCCCACCCACATACACACACGAAAAAAATATTGGAATTCAGGAAACAATGAAAATCTTTTTTTATATGCCATGTCTTTTCAAGACCTTGGTAATCACTTCCTATCTTTCGTAACTCTTAACAGTATTAGTGTTTATAGTATCACTCCTATTTTCTATTCTGCCATCTAACAAACACATAAAAAAATAGATTACTTGTTTTTCCCTCTATCTCTCTTGCCTTTAATATATCCTACGTGTATTAAATTTTCTAACGCTTTTTACCTCATTTTGTTTGGTAGAAATTTCAATTCTTTCTGATTCTAAGTTTGTTTTGTTCTTCCCCACTTTTTCTTAAAAAAAACATGGATGTTTACACGCTCTGTCCATAGTATTTTTTCGCATTCTTCTGTAGAACCACAGGTATGACGATAAACTACATCCGATAGCGAGGCCTCTGATCGAAAGACTGGAGGTTTTGAGGAGCATGGAACCACCTCTTAATTATTGTTGCTCTCAGGTCCACTTTGATCCGGCGTGGTAGCACCTGTTAGGGTCCCAGCAAATGCTGAGCCCTCAAGCAAAAAATCAAAACACATGAAAGTATAAAAGTACATTATTATAGTAAAAATACCAACACTCCCTATTTATAGTAAAATGACCAACAAAACATAATTACAGAAAAATGACCTCCAATATATTTTATCTGTAGTTGAAAGCATACAATTGCGTTCAAAATATATTTAGTTGAGGCCATAAAATTGTGCTCAAAATATTTAGATTTCAGCATTAAATAACCTGTAGAGGTTGATATGCTGCTAAACAAAATCAACCAACCAACATTAAAGAACTTTCATGACATTAATCCATCTAATATCCTACAATTTCTTAAAGAAACCAAACTGTATTATAAAATATAACTTCAGCAAAACTACAACATAAAACACACATATCATCACTTCATGAACAGGGGATTTCTATTTACAGAATTGCCACTCGCTGAGTTTTTTTTCTTTTTTTAGCCTATTCTCCGTAAACCCGAGTGATGTTGGTGCATGAAAATCTTCATAGATCAGATGTTTTTTTTAAATACTCAGACCTGTCTGTCTAGAATCAACAACCATTCTGCGTTCATAGTTAATTAAATTATTTTTCCCATACTAATTCATGAAATGAAATTCAGCAGGACAGTGGCTGATTAGAAATTTACATAAAAGTGCATTTGTTCACTATAGTTAAATGGCCAGTGTATTTATATATATATATATATATATATATATATATATATATATATATATATATATATATATATATATGCTCATAGAGTGCTGGTTTTAATAAGATAGTGCCTGATGTAATATAACAGAGCTATTATATATATTAATAAAATACATATTATCCTCACCTGAGGTATGATTCGGAATTTCATGCATGAAACCCCAAGTCGTGTATATATATATATATATATATATATATATATATATATATATATATATATATATTATGAGATACATTTATCTTTTGTTTCGTATTTAGGATTGGATTTCCATTTCCTTATAAAGTCTACTTCAATTCTATCGTCTTTGCCTAAACTAAATTTTTTTATTTACTATCTAATTTTTATTTTTTTACCTTCAGTAGAAGTAGATAGGTTCGCCTATCATTCAGTTCACACTCCTCCCCGGTCTTTTGAACAGGAGTAAAGGTTTATCCCTTGTTTTCTGTTTACGATTGGGTTTTCGGTTCCCTCGAATGTCTTATCATTCGCTTTCACTCCCAATGGCCATTTGCATCTTAGTGGAATTATCGCTTTCCTTGGGGTAAAAATGATTATATATATATATATATATATATATATATATATATATATATATATATATATATATTGAACAATAAGAAAATAAAAAAATTAAAATCTTTAGACACACTGGGTTGTAGATTAATATTCTTTCGTTTTTTTATTATTATTCCATTTAGATTCCTCGACCAGTTTCGACCGAAATGGCCATCATTCGGGAGGAGAAATATTTCTGCTTGCTGGTAGCAGTGAGCTACAGAAATGAATGTCTTGATGGAGAAAATGAACTTTTGTCTGTAGTTTTCATCTGTTTTTTTATTTTTTATTTTAACATTCCTTGTGTTGGTCAAACAGTCTCTTTTAAGTTGTTATTTGAGATAAGTGCTGGATAGATACATATTATTCTGAATTCTCTGGTCAGTTTGACAATTTTATAGGACCTGGTATGGGGATGTGTCTCTGTTTAGTGTTTGTGTGTGTGTTATTTGGTTCTTAGGGAGTGAGTGAGTATGATATGTGTAAGCATGTGTATTGGCTGTAGGTGTGTGTTATCATTTGCTCATTGGGGGAGTGAGGAGTATGATGTGTAAGTGTGTATATTCGTGTGGGTGTGTGTGTATAAGTGTGAGGCCTCTACACCTCCATAAGCATGTCTGTCTTGTGTGGGTGAGAAATGTGGGTAGGTTTTTTGATTTGTTGACTATCTATATATTGTTAAATTTATGATTTAGCCCGGCTGGGTATTTTGTTTTTAGACGTTGTATCCACTTATTTTCATGGGGACTCTAAAATCTTTTCTAATGTTATCTGCTCTGAACTTTTTCTATTCTTTCAATTATAGTGAATTTGGCATGGGTTTTGAAATCATGTTTTTCCTGGCGGAAATGTTGTTCCACAGGTAATAATTTTTCATGGGGAGTCGATTTAATTCGCTTTACGATAATTATTAATTCTGTAGTGAAAGGGCCATTCAGATTTTCCTACATATTGTTTCTGGCATAGTGTGCATTCTAGGAGGTAAATTATGTTATGACTTTCTACAGTTAGAATCGTGGTAGATTTTGAAAGTAGATTTAGTGATTGAGCTAGTGAATGAATTCGTGTTTTTAATATGGTTGCAACATAAACTTCTTTTGTTGTTACATGGTTGGGAAAATCCTGTTGTTTTTGTTCTTAGTTCATTACGGATTACCTTGTCCCCTGAAATGTGGTTACTACGTATGATTTTTTTTAGGTTCTTAGGTCTACGATATGCAAGAAGGCCGGGTTCCTTATATATATATATATATATATATATATATATATCAGGCTATATATATATAATATATATCGAGCTGGTTCCCAAATTCGTTGACTTTGTAGATGAATAACATTATGCGTTTTTATTTTAAACTAACGAGCGATGAAAAGTGAATATTTTACAACAATGTGGAGCGCAAGAGTTTGTGAGGAAAGTCACCAAATAAGGCGATAATGCGTATATAGTGGGATTAACGTCTTAGTTTTTTTACTATCGTCCTGTATTCGGCAGATATTACTCAAAGCTATCAGTTATTCTGTTTTGTTTTGTTTTTCATAATTCTCTTAATGAATAAGTTCTTTGAAAGATCGCAAAAGGCTCCAAGAACAGTTCTTTGCACCAAAAGATATCACATTTCTGTGAGGATGGAATAATGATGTTGCCTAAAAGATTTAAAGAATACAGTGGAACAAAACAGTAAATATATTGTTGAATAAAGTTAATGGCGAGAATGGAAATTATATATTTTTACTTAATGTTATCGGTTCCGACTTGGCATCTCGACTTTCTCACCGCCGTAACGTGGCTTCTTTTCTATAAATATTTTCATGGCAGTTGTTCTAATGAGCTCTCCTCCTGGGCATGAATGAATGTTTTATATTATTAAAGTCCCGCATTGATTTCGTCCAGTTAACTGATGTTTCTGCCACATTTAAGGATTCTGCATGTGTGTGGGTGGGTGGGTTATGTATTACTAACATCATTTTATTTGGTTTCTTGTAAATAGTTTTGTTTTCATATTGTAAATACTCATTGGGGTTAGTTTTTAAATTGTTGTTTTATTTCCCTCCTCCCCACAGACAATGAATTATACATATGGGGACTAGTTAGGATTTTCATAGAGACAATGAGGTATTATGGTGGATGTAGTAACAAAGGTAAGTAAGAATGTGTTGCTTTGGTGTTAGGAATATTGTAGTATGTTTGGTTCAATGTTTGTGGCTAGCTAAGTCTAATGTTAAGACAGATGAAGACCGTCCTTTTCTCCATTCCTCATTTTGGCTTTGTGCCACATTTTGTAAATATTTACAAATAAATATCGCTCTCCTCCTTGGCACCTTGATCACATGAATTTAAGCGTGCGACTAGATTGGCAAATAGGTCCCATCGGTTTACTGTTTAAATAGCTAGATGTTAACGTAAGTTCTTTTCTAATAATTTATTTTCTAGCATTTCTCACTTCCGGAACTATCTTCCGATTTTTTCTTACCTGCTAACTACACTCTTTAAAATTGTCATTTCTCTTCACTAAAGTCTTCTCATCGTCTTCTATTCCCAGCAATCTTTTGTGTCTTAGGGGTATTATTGCCTTGCTTGTGGTCGAATTATTAAAAAATAAATAAAAAAATAAACCGAAAAAAAAAACCGAAAAAAAAACAAAACAAAAAAAACTGTTTGGTCAGCTTACTTAAATAATAATAAAAAATAGCGGAAGACAGCAGAACCAGATTTGGAAAAAATGTTGGAAATAAAGAAAAATGTCGTTCTTTTTAACATTTTTAGTCAATTCAAAACCTTGCCGGAATAAAAGATGGCCGAAGATAGTAGAACAAAACAGTAAATATGTTATTCAATAAAGTTGCTGTTTATCCGATAATAGCCCAATTAAATCGAATATCACCAACCAACGCAACAAAACACAAGAAATCTGACAGATAATTATCAATAACACAAAAATACTATACCACATAAACAGTAAAAAACGTCTTCAAATACTAGAAATTAAGAAAATACTAAATATATTTCCAATCTACTACAACTACTACTACGACTAATAATAACCAGTACAATTATGAAAATTTTACGGTTTTACTATTTGAATTTACTGATGAATCATAATTCTTAAATTAATGATTGAATAATCTCCTTTGAGTTCCATGATTAAAAATACCCGTGGAAACTTCTCAAATATTTGTGTTTAATAACTGTAATAAAATATTGCAATAACAATCATAAGTATGTATGTAGTTTATTATTTCAAGAAGTAAGAGGGTACAGATGAAAAAGCAATAGTGTATATGAACCTGTATCTCATGGACCAGCCTTACGGGCTGAAAAGCGGAAATTATCTTTGCCAAAAAGGATCTAATTGTGACGACTAAAAGAAGGAGCACACGGAAAGAAAACCAGTGGAGCGTTTTAGCCCGGATCCAAAAAAGAAGACGACATTAGAAGCAGAAATTTTCAAAAGGGAGAATTTCAGCTTCGGGGAGGTGGCAGATGATATAACCTAACTTCCCCATTCACGATAATGGACGGACTGGTTGCCGATTAAGTACGACCACAGCGGACAGTCGAAAAAGTCTTCGTTTGTTAACACCTATTGAGGTTAGCATACTCCCGACTCTGTCTCTGTACTTGACACACCTACATCCGATTATAAACCTATTATTGTAAACCAACACTCGGGTTACTTTGTTTATTATATCAAGATATAACAAAAAGATTTAAAATTGACAAGTTTTCTATTTCACTGAGGAAGACGTTAAGCACATGATAGCGTTATTGCCTCTATCTTTCTTTCACTTTTCTTTTTTTTCTCTCTTTTTCATTCATTCTTTCATTCATTCTTTCTTTCATTCTTTCTTTCACTGAAACCTTCCTTTTCCTTTCAGAAACCTTTCCTTCCTTCCTTTTCCTTCCTTCCCTTCCTTCCTTTTCTTTCTTCCTTCCTTCCTTCCTTCCTTCCTTCCTTCCTTCGTTCACTCAGAAACCTTCCTTCCTTCCCTCCTCTGTTCACTGAAACCTTCCTTCCTTCCTTCACTGAAACCTTCCTTCCTTCCTTCCTTCCTTCCTTCCTTCCTTCCTTCCTTCCTTCCTTCCTTCACTGAAACCTTCCTTCCTTCCTTCCTTCCTTCCTTCACTGAAACCAAACAGCGACTATATTTTTCTTTTTTTCTCGTGATCAAAATGGAATAATCCATTTTTATGAGGTATTAGCGGGGCGTAAACTACGCGCCAAATTGCTAACTAAATAAAGAACGAATGAACAAGCAAAATAATAATAATAATAATATTACTGTTGATAAAGTTAAACCCCATTGATAGTTAAGACCATCTGGATTAAAGGCATAAACGGAGGGGCTTTATTGTTGCAGCTCAAAACCAGAGTCTTTTCAGCTTGGACTTTCATGCATAATAGTGTGGATCCAAAATGCAGGATCATTGACAAATATTAGGAAACTAATAAAAAATTCAAATGAATATAAAATCGTCCCGATAGGGTGGGGCAATATTTACACTGGACAAGTGCAAACACATTGGAAAAGATGTTAACAAACACCCAGCACCGGTAACAGAAATAGAAGACATCATAATTCTATGGGATTACACTATCTTTACAGACAGGAAGATTGAAGCAAATAAGCCGGACATAATTGTCAAAAAGCGAAAAGAAAAAAAAAATTATTATTATTGATATCGCTTGCCTAGCGGGCTGTAACATAGCAACCAAGGAATTTGAAAAACTATCGAAGTATTAAGATCTGGAAATCGAAATAGAAAAAATGTGGAAATTGAAAAAAGAATGACAAAAAAATGAACACAATGGTGTAACCTAGGGAAAATTACTGAATAGAATAGTCGCACGAAGGTTGGTAATGAACGATAATACAACAAGAACAACGCATATAAGATTCGCCAGCGGCGCGTAAAAGAAGGCAACTGCTAGAAGTCAGTCAAATGAATTCCACAATGAATCTCCAACTGCAGGATATCTACCAACCGTCCCGTGAGGTCAGATGTGGCACAAGGCCGAATTTAATGTGGGTATCCGAGCCCGTAGGCTCGGACAAACATTCCCGTAGACTCCGTATAAAGCTGATTTAGTAGCTGTCTGGTAGCTGTTTCCCGAGACGAGACTCTGCCATTCGACATAGCCTCATCTGGGAATCCTCTCTGCCCGGAGGCAGGGAATTTGACCAGCACAGGTGGAGATGAATCTCTAATTGCAGACCAAAATACAGTATTTACTACTGTATTTATGTGAATGGGGACATACCCATTATCGTCCGTAGGTATGCTACAACACACAACAGCACACTGAAAAAATCTCTGGAAATCCCAGCTTAACAAAAATACAAAAAAAAAATGTCTTGATAATTACAGCCCACACATTAAGAAGAACTTTGTCCATGTAACGTTAGTGATGTTATGGGAGTTAGAAAAACAAATCATGAAATGTAGCCATAACAACACAACAGTACCTGCCTTAGGTCTTTCAGCAGACTTGGTAGGGAGTGTGATCATAACAGAAATTGAAATATAATAATAATAATAAAAATAATAATAATAATAATGGCACGGTGCTACAAATTGAGATTTGAAAAAATACTAACATGACAATCATTAATGAATGGAGATGCGACACTCGAAAACACAATGCATACATATAGACACAGTCTTATCGACACACACACACACACACACACACACACACACACACACACACACACACACACACACAAAAAAACAAAAAAACAAAAAAAAACAAAAAAAAACTTTGATAATGACTGATGAAATCCGAAAGCGCTCAAAATAAAAATGGACAATTTATGTTCAGATTCTCCCGGAAACCAGAAACAAAGTCCGGACCGTACAACAATTAAATAAGAAAAAGATCTAAAAACAAAGAACTTTCATTCGTCTTCAAACGATATCTATCTATCTATCTATCTATCTATCTATCTATATATATATATATATATATATATATATATTTCAATTAAATAACACATTTCTCATAGCATTTTTTCGGGCTACATTCTATTTTCGTTGTCCCTCTTATTACCGAGAAGTAAAATCAAGAACAAAATCTATTTCCATACCTGAGGATGTCTGTAGGAACAGACGAAAGCTTGTAAAAATTAAAAGACCTTATGCAACTGGAATTTATAAACAGGGATCATATCATTCATATACAGGTTCGGGGTTGGTGTATCTTATTTATATTGTTTGCGAAGATGTATTCTCGCCATTTAAATCATTAACCTCTATATTTGTTTTTTTTGTATGAATGATTATGAATTTATATATATATATATATATATATATATATATATATATATATATATATATATATATTGTGATATAAAATTGTTTTAAATTAAATAAAGCATTTTTATATATTAAAAGGAATATACAATTTATATATCTACTATTTTAAGCCTAAATTCATAGCGATGTTTAATGCCCTAATCACGGACAATTGTTTATGTGAAATACTCGATTCTCACAATGACCGCCACATATATTATGGCCCTATACCAGACTAAGTTGTATTCTGTGTATATATGGTAGATATATAATTTCTCATCCAAACATAATGCTGTTCATTGTTTCGCTGTTCATGTTAGCATGGCCGACTCTTACTGAGTTAATCTGTTGAAATACTAAAGCAGTGTTTCTCATTATATACGTTATCAATTGTTTATTTGTGTGCCGGCAGTATGAGAGATTGAACGTTGAGTTTATGCATTGTATTTATTTATTTATTTATTTTTTACCGTCTTGTGCGGCTGCTTTCGTCGTTGCGCGCACGCATTCTTGATTCGTTGACATTAATTTTTGTGTCAGTCTCAAATATCATTTCTGAGTTTAAAAGTACAACAAAAATGGAGACACGGCGGAAGTAACGTTGACCAAGCTTGTCTCGCAGACAATTACTACTGTGGTGAATTCCATCCTCACGGGGTAGACCACAATTTTGGCTGCCTGACAGGATTTTGAACTTTGTAAATTCCTTCGGTCCTTTATTGTAGAGTAATGGGGACTTCGGTTCTTGCTGGAAGCTTCTCACGTGTGGCTTTGTGTTAAGCTTCTGTAAACATTAGATATTTACTAAATCAATTCTGGAATAAGGCTCAGATTGTGGAGCACCTAGTAAAGATTGTATTACGTCAATCTTTGAAGAGAAATTATTATAGGTTAATGATTAAATGTTTATGCTTAAAAGAAAAATAGTACAGTACTGACAAATTAACTCATTTATTCTCCTGTTGGAGAAGTGGGTGCCACTTCGAAGTCCCGTCTTCAAAGACCTAATCCACCAGCTATAAAACAGAAACACTTGAGATCAAAATAAAATCAAATTTTCCTCTAAAAATCTGGATGCTCCAGTCATAATGTCACACTAGTAATTATCAATGTACACAATTTTGTTAAATATTTGTTAAATATTTAGTCTACTTTACGTGCATTCGATGTCCCTAGTGAGTGTTAAATCCTCCAAGCCTTCTTCTCCTTTAAGTGTTTCCAAATTTTTAGCTGTCACTTTAAATTTTTCTTTGTAATGAGTGAGAAGTGAGGGGTGACAAGTAAGGAGTGAATATTGAAAAGTGAGGTGTGAAAAGAGTGAGAAGAGAGGAGTGAAAAGTGGGGAATGAAGAATGATGAGTGAGAAGTGAAAAATTCGGAGTAAAAGGTGTGAAATGGGAAGTGATGAGTGAGAAGTGAAAAGTGAAGAATGAAGAATGATTAGTGAGAAGGAAAATGAGGGAGTAAAAGGGTGAATGGGAAATGAGTGAGATGAGAGGAATGAAGAAGATGAAGAAGTGAAAAAAGAATGAAGAATGATGAGTGAGAGAAGTGAAAAATGAGAAGTGAAAAAAAAGGTGAAATGGGAAGTGATGAGGGAAGGAAAAGGAGGAATGAAGAATGATGAGAGAGAAGTGGAAAATGAGGAGTAAAAGGTGGGAAAGGGAAGTGATGAGTGAGAAGTGAAAAGGAATAATGAAGAATGAAGAGGAGAAAAATGAAAAATGAATGGGAAGTGATGAATGAGAAGTGAAAATGAGGAATGAAGAATGATGAGGAGAAGTGAAAATGAGGAAGAAATGTGAAAAGTGAATGAGAAGTAAAAAGTGAATAATGAAAATGAGAGAAGGAAATGAGGTGGGAAATGGGAAGTGATGAGTGAGAAGGAAAAGTGAGGAATGAAGAATGACGAGAGAAGTGAAAAATGAGGAAAATGAAATGGGAAGGATGAGTGAGAAGTGAAAAGTGTGAAGAATGACGAGGAGAAGTGAAAAATGAGGAGTGTGATGAGGAGAAGTTAAAGAATAATGAAGAATGATGAGGAGAACTGAAAATGAGGAGTAAAAGGGAAATGGGAAGTGATGAGAGGAGAAGTGAAAGTGAGGAATGAAATGACGAGGAGAAGTGAAAATGAGGAGTAAAGGTGAAATGGGAAGTGATGAGGAGAAGTGAAAATTGAGGAATGAAGAATGACGAGGAGAAGTGAAAATGAGGAGTAAATGTGTGAAATGGAAAGTGATGAGGAGAAGTAAAGTGAATAATGAAGAATGACGAGGAGAAGTGAAAATGAGGAGTAAAAGATGGGAAAATGGGAAGTGATGAGGAGAAGTGAAAAGTGAATAATGAAGAATGATGAGGAGAAGTGAAAATGAGGAGTAAAGGTGTGAAATGGGAAGTGATGAGGAGAAATGAAAAGTGAGGAATGAAGAATGATGAGGAGAACTGAAAATGAGGAGTAAAAATGTGTGAAATGGAAAGTGATGAGTGAGAAGTGAAAAGTGAATAATGAAGAATGATGAGTGAGAAGTGAAAAATGAGGAGTAAAAGGTGGGAAATGGGAAGTGATGAGTGAGAAGTGAAAAGTGAGGAATGAAGAATGACGAGTGAGAAGTGAAAAATGAGGAGTAAAATGTGTGAAATGGAAAGTGATGAGTGAGAAGTGAAAAGTGAATAATGAAGAATGACGAGTGAGAAGTGAAAAATGAGGAGTAAAAGGTGTGAAATGGGAAGGAGGAGGAGAAGGAAAAGTGAATAATGAAGAATGATGAGGAGAAGTGAAAAATGAGGAGTAAAAAGG